CTGTCGTCGTAAGGTCTGTTTTCCTGACCTCTGATCATGCGTGTGGCTCTTCTCTGGACTCTCTCTCAAGCTTCTCCACATCCTCTTTGAATTGTGGAGCCCAAAACTGGACACAGGACTCCAGCTGCGGCCTCACCAAGACTGAGTACAAAGGGAGAATGACGTCCTGGGATTTGCTTCAGAAACAACTATGGATGCAAGTCAGCATTTCGGTCACTTTACTAGCTGCAGCATTGCATTTCAGGCTCATGTTCATCTCGTGGTTAATGATGACCCCCAAGTCTCTTTCTTCCATAGTGCTAGCCAGTGTAGCACTGCCGAGCCTATAAGGATGCTGCAGGTTTTTCTTCCCAAGGTGGAGAACCTTACATTTTTTGGTGTTAAATATCATCAGGTTCTTGTCCATCCATTTGGTGAGCCTGTCCAGGTCAGCCTGGATCACTCGCCTGTCTTCTGGTGCGGATGCTTTGCCCCAAAGTATGGTGTCATTGGCGAACTTGGCCAGTCCGCTCCTGACTCCAATGTCCACACCATTAATGAAGATGTTGAACAATATGGGTCCAAGGACAGAGCCTTGTGGGACCCCACTGGTCTCGGGACACCATGATGAGTGACTTCCATCGATTACTACCCTCTGGGTCTGACCACGGAGCCAATTTCCCAGCCAGCAGATTGTGGTGGACCCAATCCCACAATTGGCCAGTTTTGCCAAGAGGTGATCATGGGATACCACATTGAAGGCTTTTTTGAAGTAAAAATATATGACATCAATCTCTTCTACCTTGTCCAGGTGATAGCTCACCTGGTCATAGAAGGAAATGCGTTTGGTCAAACAAGACCTACCAGCAACAAACCCGTGCTGGCCTTAAGATGTTGGCGTAAGCCAGTTCATTAAGGATGGCCTCTTTAATGAACTTTTCTAACATCTTTCCTGGGATATAAGTCAGGCTGATGGGCCTATAGTTCGCCAGATCCGCTTGCCTCCCGTTCTTGAAGACAGGCACCACATTGGCCTAATTTCAGTCTTTGGGCACTACACAAGAGCTCAAGGAGTTTTCAAAGATCCGTGCCAGAGGCTGGGCTACAATGCTCACCAGCTTCTTGAGTACCCTGGAATGTAGATTGTCAGGGCCAGCTGACTTGAAGCTATCCAGCTTCTCAAGAGGTTCTGTCACAAGTTCAGCATTAATGGAGGGCAGGGGATCTCCCTCACCTGGATTGCCCTGTCCCATGGGTGGGCATGGTTGTCCCATGGGATTGATAAAAGACCGACGTGAAATACCCATTTAATAGGTTGGCTTTTCCTGGGTGTCAGTTGTCAGTTGCCCCATCTTGTTCAGCAGGAGTCCAATGTTGCCCTTGCTTTTCCTCCAGCTCCCCGTATCTGAAAAAGGACTTTTTATTGTCCTTGATGCTTGAAGCTAGTTGGAGTTCAGTTGCAGCCTTTCCTGGTTTGCTCCCTGCAGGACCAGACCAGTGCAGAATATTCCTCCTTGGCGGTGAGTCGCATCCTCCATTCTTTGTAGGCCTTTCTTTTTAGCCTCAGGAGGTCTGCTAGATCCCTGGAGAGCCAGGGAAGCTGCTGTGCCCTCTTGCTACCTTTCCTCTGAGATGAAATAGAATTACCTTGTGCATTGAGGATCACTCCCTTGAGAAGCAACCACTCTTCTTGAACTCCCCTCTCCCTGGGGTCATGGTCCCTTAGGGCCTCACTGACAAACCTCCTGAGCTTGTCAAAATCGGCTTTCCTGAAATCAAGGACTTCTGTGTTGTTGATTGACTTGCCAACTTTATGGTGGATGGTAAAGGTGATCACCTTGTGGACATTGTCACCCAGCTTCCCATGGACCACTAGGTCACCTATTAGGTCATCTCCAGTAGCCAGTACCAGGTCGAGCAGTGCTTTACCTGTCGTTGGCCCATAGACTTCTTGAGTTAGGTAGAGGTCATCCACACATGAGAGAGAGCTTTGCGACCACTCAGATTTTGCTGAGTGGTCTTCCCATGAGATGTCCGAGTAATTGAAGTCAACCATGACAACCATGGTTCTGGAGCATGCAGCCTCAGCCAATTCCTGGGCGAACTCCTGGTCAAGCTCTTGACTTTGGGTGGGAGGTCTGTAGTAGACTCCCACCATTGTGTCCCCTGTACCGTGTTCCCCATGGATTTTAACCCAGAGGGTCTCCAGTCATCCACCCTGGTCATCAATATCAGCTTGCAGAGATGCGTAGCTTTCCTTAAAATAGAGATCAACACCCTCACCACTTTTATCTACATGATCCCTCCTGTACAGGATATAGCCATCTATACCCATGGTTCAGATATGGGTGGAGTCCCACCAGGTTTCTGTTATCTCTATCACATCATAATTATTTGCATTAAGCCAGAGGATGAGCTCCTCCTGCTTATTCCCCAAGCTACTGGCATTTGTGTACAGGCAGACAAGTGTCCTCTTGGGGGCTCTTGCCTTGCCCACAGATTGCCCCAGGGCTGGGGCAGGGGTGGGCTCCCTTATGTGCCTTGGCCTGCTGGCTTTGCAAGGGTTGCTCAGTGGGCCAGCAGTGGTGGTAGTCCCCCCATCCCCCAGCACACTTAGTTTAAAGCCTGGTGGAGCACATCAGCCAGTCTGGCTGAGAAGAGCCTCCTCCCCAGGGGAGAGAGGTGGAGGCCATCTCTTCCCAGCAGCTCACTGCCTCTCTTGCCAAAGAGCGGGCTGTGGTCATAGAAGCCAAAGCCTTCCCAATGACACCAGCACCGCAGTCTTTGGTTCACTACGTGGATTCTGTTCTCCCTCCTCAGCCCATAGCCCGAGACTGGGAGGATCGACGAGAACACCACCTGTGCTCCCAGACCCTTTAGCCCCACTCCCAAATCCCTGTAGCACCTCACAGCCTGGCTGGGAGCACTCCGAGCTGTGTCATTGGTGCCCACATGAATAAGGAGCATGGGATAGTATTCTGTGAGCTGGAGGAGCTTAGGGGTTTTCTTTGCAACGTCTTGGATGCGGGCCCCTGGGAAGCAGCTAAGGGGTTGGAGCGGCAGATTGCCCCCTCAGTCCCCCTCAGGATGGAGTCTCCCATGACAAACACCTTACATTTTGTCTTGGGGAGAGCGGGGGCAGTAGCTGCAGTTGAGCCCGTGTTGCCTGTGGGAGCTGGCAACTCAGCAGGCTCTGCTGGAGCAGCAAGAGGTGTATACCTGTTGCTAAGCTCCAGCGGGGCACAGGCCTTGGTGCGGCGGGCCTTAGGGCCCTTGACCACCTTGGTCCATCCCCTTGACTGGACAGAGTGGGAGGTCCCAGAGTCCTCCTTTGGCCTGGAGGGAGACAGTGGTCTATCTTCTGCCTCCCGGGAGAGAAGGGCCTGGATTGCAGGTACTTGCAACTAACTTTAGTGCCAAGTCCTAATGCACATTAAATTTAGTCACACTTAAATGAACATGTAGACACAGCCTGTAATGAGTAAGATGGGTCTGCTGTTACAATGACTTATTCCTGCTCTATTCAGTGATTGGTTTCTGAGAAGTGTAACAATGCAGTAGTCAAGCAAATCTTAGTACAGGAGGAAAACTGGTGAATAAATGGCATCTCCAGTAAAACTTGATGTATTTTGCATGCTAATGCCCCAGTCAGAATGCTGCCATTTATAGGGTTTTGTTTTTTATTTTTGTTTTTTAATCTCGCAAGTCTAGGAGATAGTGGTTATTTTAAAAGTTTAATAATGCTTAGTTCCAGTGTTTCTTACAAAAAAGCCATATAATTTACAAATACATATGAGAAGCAGATGCTAATAATTTTGTATGCTAAGAATGTTTGTTTTCCACATAGGGCATGTGTTACCATACATCATTGCTAGTATATAAATATACTGGGTATTTTCATGAAGTGAAAGTTTAAGTTAGAATGATGAATTAAAAGATTATACAAATTCTTGTAAGCCTACAACACCATGAAGCAAACACTGAAAAACCAGTATGCTAAAAACCAGGAAAAAGCAAGCAATCTGCTTCCAAATTGATATAACAATATTAATACTATTTGGGCATATCTACACATGCATTTAAGCATGACTACATTTAATGTGCATTGGATTAATACGCATTAAATGATTTTTGGCAGGCGTCTACAAGTGCAGAGATTTGGCACTAAATTTAATCCCAAGTCCCTGAAACCCTGACACTTACCTCTGTGGCCCCTGAGGGGAGCTCCAGACTCTGGCCACATGGCTGCCAGCTGTGTTGAAGCCAGACCCAGTTGCCAGCACCTGGCAGCCATCTGGAAAACTCTAATCCCTAGCCAGCCCCTTCCCTGCCCAGAAACCATGTGCCCAGCACAGGGACACCACACAGCAGCTCCCTCCTTGCCCACCCTGCCTCCCTGTGTCAGGACTGCCTTGCCCCTTCCCCTGTCAGTGACGCCCAGCACCTTGCTGCTCAAGCCCAGCCCCAGCCAGTGACAACCAGTCACCTGCTGTCCATGGTGCTGGCCCTGCTAACCCTAGCAGGCTCCCACTCCACCCAGGCCCCAAGACAGCCATGCACCCACCAACGGGGGCTAGGGCACTGGCTGCAGGAGGCCCTGCCCAACCCCTTTCTCCTGTACTTCCAGCTCTAGCCTGCCTGCCCCACCATGCATACCCCCCTTACCCCTGGACCACACACAGCACCACTCTCAGGACATGCACATGGGTGAAACAAAAAACCTTTATTACCCTCACAACATCCAACCCCAACTCTTCTCCCTTCCCCTCTGAACAAACAGAACCCCCTCCTCCTCTCAACCAACAGAGTCTTTCCACCACCCTCCTCACCCACCAACAAAAAACCCCCCATTTACAAAGGGGGGGAACTCTATACAAGGGGGGAACTCTATACAAGGGGAAAACTATTTAGAATATTTTAGGTCTTCAAGCTGAGAGTGGGGGACATGGGGTGGGGTTAGGGGGGGAAGGGCCACGGGGAAAGTGCCCAGCACCCCAGCCCCTGGATGTTACCTGGGAATAGGCTCAGGCCAGACCCTAGCAGCACAGGAGACCTGGAACTAAAATTAGTGCCAGGTCACATCTACCCACTCGTTAATACGCATTAACTAATCATGCCTAAATTTGATATCTGCATTTTCAGGTATCAGATTTAGACATTATTATCCTAAGTTAATGTGCATTAAGGATGCACACATGTAGATGTAATGAGTATTAACTTAGGGTAATGCACATTAATGCATCTTGTGAAGATGCACCACCTGAGACTTAATCTAATGGAATGCTGATGCATCCTGATGTTGCCATTAAACCACTAAGAATCTGAGGAATGGTGACATGTTTTGAATTTAAGCAGATTGCGAAGTACCTAATGTTCATTTCAAGATAAATACAAGGAAATAGATAGGCAAACTAGATTAGGTCAAAAAGCAACACGAGATGTTAAGATTGTGCAAGTTTATCCATACTTGCCCTAGATTATTCTCCAGCATAAGGTTTTGTTTTTCAAAGTGCATTCAGTATTTTGGCTATAAGTACCTTTCAAAGCCTTAGCAGAGGCTATGCTGAACATTCTGAACAGCACCCTGCACAGACCACAGGTTTTAAGGGCATATGTGTAGCTAAAGCCCCCTGGCGCATGTTATACTTATTGTGCAATTAATTATTTAATTGCACAATAAAATTAGACATGCTACATGTGCAAAGTAATTATCACACAGTAAAATGGCCACTGAGTCAAAAATGACCAATGAATTACAAACATATTACTTGAAAAATGTAAACCATCTTTACAGCTAGTTTCTATCAAGCTTTAATTTAAATGTGTGGCATGTTACATGTAGGGCGACAATATTTATCCACGTCCTCCAGCATCCCAGGGTAGATTGCTTGTGTGTGCACCCTTGCTTGCTTGCTTGCTTACTTGACCCCTCCCCCTCCCCTTCTCCTTAATGTAAGGAGACTCATTCTTAACTGCTACCACAGGGTGCAGTAGCAGGAGATGTCAAGACTCACTGAGCCTCCTCACTCTCTTCAACCTGCCTTCAAGGCTGCTTCTTTAAGAAGCCATTAGCACCTCTGTGAAACCCAGGGTGTAGACAAACACTCAAGTGACTTGATATATGTGTCCCAGAGATGGGGGAGGAATTTTGTTCAGAAATCTGTGGGCGGGACAAGCATATACACAAAAGCACGTCATAAGGTCCCTGGAGAGTTTGAGCCCTGCCACTTCTGTCCCACTGTGTCCTCCCACACTTTTACACAGGTCTACCCCATCTGCACAAGGGTTGAGAGCAGCTTTTTCACCCAGGAGGAGCCCGGCTGACTTCTCATTCTCAACACAGCTCCAGAGAGGAATTTTCAGTCCCTGCCAGCAGCTTTCCAGCTCCTCTTGCCAGTGAGCACTAACAGAACAAGTTCCCAAGATACCTTTGTATCTTCTGGGTAACTTGTCCTTTGAATGAGAAGCAAGATATATGGCATGACAGTTTCTACTGAGTAATATTGCCTGTTGCTTGATAAAGGGACATCTGCCAGGGCCATTAGTTACATATTGCATAAACCCTGTTGGCCTGCTTTTGTAACGGACAGTCCTCTTATATTTCTCCAACTCCCATCATATGTTTCAAGAGCTGGACCTTTAATTCTGACCCATAAACACAGCTGAAAACCTAAAAGTGGCCATTCTGGCAGCATCTGATGAAGTTTGATTTTATCTAACTAGGAAAGAAGGTTTTTATTTTTTTACAAAGATAAATTTTATTGAGTTGAGTATATGCCTTTCTTCACTCTGCCTTTGACTGGTCAGTTTTTGCTGTAAATATAAGAGTCCCTTTCCCATTTTAGATAAGCTAGTGCACAGTCTAGTTGCTTAATGTATATATCATCCAAAGTTCATTTAATGATAGGCACCCGTAAACACATATCCTGTTAACTGAGAATGTAGTTAGTTTTAAAGGCTTACTTAGTTTTTCTTTACCTTTTGAGTGGCAAAATTTCTTGACCAGTTATATGATCATACTTTTTTTCTTTTGGAATCCTGCAAAATGTAAAACTCCTGCAAAATGTAAAACTCAGTTATTTCAGATTAAATTGTTTTACTTTTCCACAAGTCATCTATACCATATAATAATAGTGACTCAGTAAATTTGTAGCATGGTTTATTTTGTTATGAATAATACTACTACCCTTCATACCAGAAATACTTTAATAAAATACCTTTCATTTAAATATATACAGGTTTAGCTGTCTCCAATATATTTCTTTGGTAGCCACATTTAAACTTAATGGGGAAAAATCTGTTTTTTAGATAGTGGATCTGTGAAAATGAATTGTGAAAGCTTATAATACTTTTTGAGAGGCTGTGTCTCAAAGCTACCTGAGTTTGTCCATCTTTGGCCCTGATCTGGTAATGAAATCCAGGAAGCCAGAAGCCATATGTGTCTACAAAGTTCACTGCAAGTTTTAAACTGTGGTTTTGGTACTTAATCTGCCTATCTAAAAATCAAATTTCTAATAATAGTTAAAAACAAACAAACAACTTTAAGGCCAGTTTTGTTCTTTTCAAGAATGCAAATCAACTTTTTTTAATGTTATTGGTATTTTAAAATTGCTGTTTAATCAAGTTTAAATTGAGCTGTTAAAATGTTCCTGCTACCTAATTGCAGATAATAGAATTTAATTATATGTTTGTGTAGTTGATTATACAGTTACTTCCATCATGCTGCAAAGTGGAAAATGAATTGTTAAGTACTGTACCTGATGAATACTGCTATCATATGTTATGTGGTAGAGAACAGGAGATATATACATCCAGAGTATATCTCTAACTCTAAAACTAAAGAAGGGTCATTGAAATAACCAAAAGATACATCATAAGAACTGTCACTGAGGTAGAGTGTTATGTATATCTATCTACCTTCTGTAAGCACGAATATGGTGTTTCCCAAATATCATACGTATTCTCTTGGAACGTCCTAGGAAACAACATGGTAAGGAAATAAATAGATTAAAGGGTTTGTTCTTTGTATAGAAAGGAAGTCTCCAAATTATCATCATCATACCCAGTTCATATTAGCTTATATCGTAATTCAAGCAACATCAGGCAACCTCCTAATATAGTTTATAGTCCAATAAATACATCACATATCACAGGTACGATGCTATTTAAACTATCCTCTGTATCTGACTACATTTGAGCTGGTGGTAACAAGTCCTCATCTTTGAAGGTAGGGATTACTGTTATAAGGTGATTTTAGAGTAGTATACGTGCATGATTGAGCAAGTTTTGTGTACAGTCTCCTGTTTTTTACCCTAAAACTATAAAAAATCAAGGACACCAAGTTTCAAGTATCTGATATGAGAAGAAATGAATGTGGACTCTGTTCACTTCTGTGTATCAGGCAAAGATGAAATATTAAGGAAAAAAATAAATTTATAGTGGTACCATTAAAAAATCAACATATTTCAGAGGTCATGACACAGTAGTAAGTGAAATATCTAAATTGGTTTTTATTTAAACAAAATATTTAAAAGTTACATAGTAAAAAACATCTTATACTATCTGTATGTGCAGTAACAGTCATTATAGAGTTTTCTGACACACATTCATCAGCAGTGACAGTAGATATTCCAGCTATTCTACTAAGTAGTGATGCATTTTTCTCTTGTGGCTGTGAAGACCAATGTTAGATTTGCAGTTCCTGCCACAGTCATCACAGGAGTACATGGCATTAGGGAAACAGCCTGTACTGACAGGCTGTTTCATTTGGTCAAGTTTTTGGAATAAGTCAAGTGACCATTTCTTGTCATGATATTGGACTCCATGATTCAGAAGGGAGGACCACTCTGTCCTGTCTCCTAGTATGGCCTCCCAAAGGCTTGAGTCAATTCTAAAAGCCTTCACATTCTGCTTGCCAACATCTTTGAAGCACAATTTTGGGCACCTTATTTTTCTCTCCCCACCTGTAATTTGCCCATATAGATGCTACAGTAAAAAGCCAGTCCTTTGGGAGCATCACCTTAAGCTGGGAAGCCCCCAGCTAGTAAGGTGCTGACCTGACATGGTCTGCCTGCCTCATTTGGCGTGTGAGGCTAGACCAAAAGTAAAAAACAAAAACAAATTTCAAATCAAGTACAAGTAAACAAGAAAAGAAACCTTAAAACCTTCTGGCTGAGAAGCTGGATTGCAGTCCTTTTGGATGCTCCCATATTCCATCCTATGAAGATGGCCAAGTTGGCTTAGATGCCATAGTTTGAATAGTGCATTGATGGTTGGAAGTTTGACTTTGGTGATAGCCTCTGTGTCCATGATTCTGCCTTGCTACATGATGTCAAGGATGCATGGTAAACACTGTAGGTGGAAGCTTTTCATCTACTCTTCTTAATACACATATGTTGACTATCTCCCACTGCTATACATAAGGACACTAAGGATGTAGGCTTTGTACAGAAGCAGCTTGGTTCTGATTGTGAGTTTTGCATTGCTTCAGACTCATATGGAGAGCTTACTCAAAGTTTCAGCTGCTTTTTCCAATGAGCACACGTTAGCTCTTCATCCAGTGATGGGTTGTTGCTGACTGTGGATCCATGGTAGCAGAGCATGTTCACAGTTTCTAGAGGTATGTTATCAAGGCTGATAAATAGTGACTGGCAGACCCCCTGTTCTAGGACCACAGTCTTCTTGATGCTGATGGCCAGGTAAAATATCCTGCAAGCATGGGAGAGGTGATTCATGAATATCTCTGGTTTGCCTTTCTCATGCGTGGTGAGTACAGCATCACCAGCAAAAAGAAGCTCCCTAGTATGTGCCTTACTTTTTGTCTTGGCCTTAAGATATGATAGTTTGTAGAGTTTGCCCCATGATCCTGCCTCCCTCCAAGCCATCAAAAGCATAGTGCAGCAGCATAGAAAAGAATATCCCAAAGAGTGTGGGTGCCAGAACACAACCCTGTTTCAGTCTACACTCTCTTCATCTCAAACTTGCAGAGACTGATCCATCAAACTGAACTGTGGCCTGCATGTTTTCATGAAAGGAGCATATCATGCTGAGTAATGTTGGGGGGCATCCAATCTTTACCAGGACCTTGAACAAAATTGCTCTGCTGAAGGCTTTTATCAGGTCAACAAATGCTACGTACAATGGCTTATTTTGTTCTCTTCATTTTTCTTGCAGTTGGTGTAAGGAGAATATCATGTCCACTGTTGATCTCCCTGCTCTGAATCCACACTATGATTCTGGGTAGACACAGTGAAGAAATTGTTGCAGGCATCTCAAGATGACTCTAGCAGAAGCCTTGCCTGTGGCACCAAGGCAAGAAATGCCCCTATAGTTGTCGCAGTCACCCTTGTCTCCCATGTTCTTGTAGACAGCAATGCTAGTGCCATGCATGTCCTGGGGTACTTGACCTTCATTCCAGCAGCATACTAGGAGGTGATGAAGATGTGGTAGCAAGCTAGCCTTTCTGCACTTGAGAACCTGAACTAAGATGCCTTGGAATACCCTGCTGAATACTGGTTGTGTTTCAGGTAGGCTGTATTATTGGCTTCAACAAATGGTAGCATCTCTTCTGATGCTGGCATCATGAACCACCTTGACTATATTGGCCCCATTGTTGGTGGTCATGAACCTCATAATGCAGGGGTGGTTTAATTGGGCAGGGTGAGCTCACTTGTTGTGTGGGACCTATCCATCACCTCCACTTGAAGGAGAGCTCACTGATGCCCTGATTGATCACACCAGTGCCGTGTGAGGGAAAGATAGGCATGATCTCCACCTTGGTAACTCCAGATGTCCGAGGTGAAGTGTGAAACTACCTTCCACAGCTCCTCCGTCAAGTGCTCCCTGCATGCCTTATACAGGGAGGGCACTGCTATCCTGCTGAAGGTGGTGCATGCAGGAACTTGGTAGGAAGGGGCCATGAGTGTCATGAACCACCTGAACCATGGATGCTCAACAAAGGAGAAGGGCTGTCCATCCAAACAAGCATCTCCCCAATGCTCCGGGTGACTTCTCTCACCTTGGGAATACACTCACTCCCCTTTGTCTCTGCCTTTGCCCCACTGGTAAAGGGTGGCATGCCTCTGCTACTGGGGGATAGGGGTTTTGGAGCAAGAGGGGAACTTATTTTTGGGGACCCACTGGTGTCAGGCTGAAGAAGAACAAGGGCAAGGGGGTGCTGCCTCCTGAGATGCAGCAGCATTGCTATGGTAGTGAAGTTTCATGTCCTGCCCCAGCTGATCTGCTTTTGACAGTGCTGGCAGGTAGCATACCTGGGATCATCTGCCACCTCAAAGTGATCTCAAACTACACTACCCCCCACTTCTTGGTTGATGGTGGGGATCCTGCCTTATGCTCCTCCTCACCAGGCAGAGGCACAACAACAGGAGCAGCTAAGCCACCTGCCCTCACAACCTACTCCAAAGTGCCTTCCAGAAGACACCTGCCTCTAGGGGAACTTTGAGGATGTAGAGCACAAACTCAGATTTACCTTTCTTTCCCAGAATTTCATTAGCTGTGGCACTCGGCTCCACTGCTTTCATATCTGGCTCCTCCTCTGGCACTGGAAGGCTCATGCTGGGAACTGAAATTGGGGTGGAGAATGTCATGCTGGTGGTTATTACTGATGTTAGTGCAGGTGGTGCAGATGCAGACACTGCTCCCACCTCCTTGCTCCCACTAGCAGCAGAAGACTCATCGCTGCCAGGAAATATGCTTTTGGGGGGAGGGGAGGACTTGCAGCTCTCCCTCTGCCCCCTTTCCCTCTTTTGCCAGAAGACCTGCCTTTCCAGCATACTTCATAATGTTTGGTGTGCTGCAAAATGTGTGCGTGTCTATAACACATGTTGTGACTTCCTGCACAGTGATGACACACTGTCAAGGAAACCACAGAAGGAGAGACTAGCTGGCTGCCAAGAGACTAGATAGCAAGCCAGAGTCTTTCAGATGCTGCTGGTCCCAGAGACAAACAGCTCACAAGATCACTTCATAGACAGACTTATATGTTCTGTCTATGTCCCTCCCCCAGTGTACTGCAATTGGAAGGGAACTAAGGAAAAGATCACTGTCACTGGCCAGCTACGGGTATCAATATCAGAGCAGTCTTTCCCCTCTTCTTCCCCATCCCTTTTCTCAGTTTCTGTTCCTGCATTCCTGCTTTCTGAATCTCCAAATCTTTTCTGAATCTCCTCTGAATAAATTTGGAGGCTTCTGTTTGATTCAGCCCTTTTAATGGGTCTCCTGATTCAATTTTGGATTTGGAGATTTGGCCACCGAATCAGGACGAATCTCCTCCGAATCAAATCAGCTACCAAAGCTTTGCACAGCCCTAATACATAGGTGCTTTAAGGAGTTCAAGAAGTCATTGGCCATTTTCATTCATTTTTCCGATGCCATAATGTCCCAGGCAGGTTGGCCAAGAATCATGATCTGTGCCTACTTAAACATTAAAGTCCCCTAGGAGGGGAAATCTATCATTTGATGGTAGGTGTGCAATGACTTGGTGCAGGGCATCTTGAAATTACCTTTATTATCTGAATTTGTCTAAGAAATTGGTGCCTAGGGGCTAAGGATGTTAACAAAACTGTCAGTTGACCTCTATAGCCTGAGTGAGATGACATGATCTGATGTTCCAATGGGGGTCTTGATGGCTTTGACCAACGTGTTGCAAACTACTTATCCAACTCTATGTAGGTGAGTATCTTCTGCACTGCTGCCTTTCCAGAAATAGAACATGCATTGGCCAATCTTGTCTCCTGCAGGGCTGCAATGTCAATGCTAAGTTCTCAATCAATCAATTAAGTCTTCTGGACATTGTCCATCATCTATAAATTGTCATTCTTGCTAGGACACATAGTTCTGCATTCCAGCTTCTTAGCCAGCAGGTTTTTAGGTTTCTTTTCTTGTTTCCTGGTGCTTGATTTGCCATTTGTTTTTTGACTTTTGGTTTAGCCCCACACACCAAGTGAGGCAGGCAGACAATGGTGGGTCAGAACCTTACTAGCTGGAGGCTGCCCAGTTTAAGGTGGGTGGTGGCTGACCAGTACAACACAATTCATTTCTCTCACTAACAAAAGACTAGAATGCCACAGGTCACTATAGCAACTGAGCTGAGCTTATGACCCATGACTGCCCCCTTCTGTGGAGCCCATGCAAGTTGCAAAGATGCAGTGTCCTGTTAATTACTTAATTCAGTTTAGTCTGCAATGGCCTGGGCAGTTGATAGGGAGACACTTGAGTTGTCTATGTATCAATGTCCCCTTCTAAGCCTAGCTGATTGATCCTAACAGATCATCTGGAACCAGCTTGGCTGCAGGAGCTGCCTGTATGAAAATCTTTAATCCATCTGCCTTTTGGGGCTGCACTCCTAGACTGGTTGCCAGCCAAGACTGGAGACCCCATTCCACCCTGCCATGGCACTCGCCTTCTGGTGGCATTTCCTCCACCAGGGGTAAGGACTAGTACCCATCTATAAGTTGCTCCTCTGCCCAAAACCATTGGCACCATAGAGGTTGCTAGGCTATTCCCCACTGCCCAACTCTGTGTTGACAGCTGCAGGTAGTATCATATACTGTTATAACAGTAGCAGACCTGGGCTGGTCTGACCTGACAGATTATACAGTTAATGTCATTAATTGAACATCTTTAAATGACTAGAAAATTAACATTTTATATGCTTCTCTCAGATCAGTAAATTAGAAAGACAGTGTATTAGTGATGCAACAAAACTTTTGCATGTGGTAATAGCTGCATAAACATATTAATAACATTCCCAAAGGAACAATGATCATAGATAGCATGTGTACTTAATTAATATCAATAAATGTGATAGAAAATTAGAAGGAAAGGAATCTTTTGGTTCTCCTTTGGTTTTTATTTCTTTTCATATTCTCACTTTTTCTTTTAGAATAATGTGGCAGGTCATAGCAATTCAGATCAGAAGGCAATTTTTTTTCTGGGGAATTGCCAAAATAAAAAATAATAACAAAAATAAAAAGGGAAACAAAATGCACAGAATTGAAGCCTAAGAAGAAAAATCCAAAACACATGTCAAAATACATGTCCAAATATGTCATTTGCAACATCCAAAAAAAAATGGAATTAAGAAAAGCTAAGCTATCAAGAAAAAAGTATTTGGCTGCTGCCCGTCACTAGAACTTTATTAGCACATTGGAACCAAATGTATAAGGTTAAATTCTGCTACAAGATGCTTACACAGGCTTCTCATTGATTAAGCAACCTGGACATCTGCTGAATGAAAGAATTTGGCTCATGGCATATTAAAGTTAAAAGGCGACATCAAATATATTTTTTATGCAGAATGTCCTACTGATTTCATTGCTGAGTTCTACTTAAAAGTGTTGGTACCATATGGCATAATGCTGCTAAAACACCCAATCTCTATATCAACTATTGAGAGCATTAGCTGGCAGAACAGAGGGGGCACATAAGGCATCATGGAGGAAAAATAGCTGAAAGTGCATCTACTATGGAAGCTAAACCAGTGCTTAAGAGGCCTTTTGCTTTTTTGTTTTCCATTTAACACGTTCATTAGGGCTGTGTGAAAGAGCACCATTCCATTTTGACTTCTATTTTGGTGTTTCAGTGAAACAGTGTTCGTTTTGAGTTTCCTCTAATTTTGAAGCCGCTGTTCTATTTTGTTTTGTCAAAATTGTTTCACTGTTTTGACACTGTTTCGATGTTTCACCCATAGGCTATAACGGGGAAGGAAAAAACTGCCTATAACTTTGTCATTTCTTGCCTGATTCAGATGAACCTTGCAGAGATGGTAGCCCCTCCTGATGCCATGAAGCCTGCCAACCTTCAAGGATATAAATAGAGGGTTGTCTGGGAAACTGCACCTTAAGCTACAGATGAGCAAAACTCATGTACGTGTGTGTGTTACGGCACAGGAGGGTGAAAACTGCAGGTATGGTAGTCCCTTCTGAGGACATGGAGCTTGCTAGTTTTCAAGGACGTAGGTGCAGGGATTTCTGGGAAACTGCACCTCAGGCTGCTGACAAGTAAAACTGATGACATGGGTGACACTGTGTGTGGTAAGGTACACCCTCACTGGTGCTGGGGCCTCTACATGACATGGTAGTGTGCCCAATGAGGTCTCCTCCCCTACAGCTTCAGTCTGGTCCACCACTTTAAATGACAGCAGGTAAGCACTGCAGTGCACTGCAGCACAGTAGCACTAGCTTCTCAGGCAGCCAAACTGTCATAGACTAGAGCCTTTCTTTCCTTTCCCGCAGAAGCTTCTTCTCCAGCAGCTGCCAAAGAACTCTAGCTGCCAGCCCCAGCCCTGGGGCTTAGATGTGCTCAGGGCCCTGCATCCTTCCAGACTGGGGACAGGTGATAGAAGTGTTGGTCTAAGGACATGGCACTGTCAGATAAGGTCCTTTGGGTCAATTTGGTATCCTTTAGTAGACCATATGAATAGTTAAAGAAAGCCAGGGCAATGAGGGGTTGTGTTTTGATTTTATGGAGAGGGGTTTTCCTTGATTGTCCGATGGGGCTTAGGGGCTTATGGTTAATGAAATGAGAATTTTTATAAAAGAATTGAATGGTAGAAATAGAGATGTTGTTTTGGAAATATTAATGATGTGTTACTTGTGGTGTGTGATGGGTTATGTTGTGTTTTTATGTTTATGTGTTTATTATGAAAAAAACCCTGAATAGTTAGAGAAATATATCTTAGCAAGCTTTCAGGCTGAAAAACTTTGTCAGGCTAAGGAAGCACCTACAGTTGGTCTCTGTGTGTGCAGTTCCTGGATGGAAGGAATAGTAAAGAAGCCAGAGGCTAGCATGCAATGCAGGCAAGAAAGCCAGTCAGTGAAAATGGGAATGGAGACATCAGGGGGTGAGGGACAGTCTGGGGTGGGTGGAAAAGGGTAGCATCACAGGTAAAAGTGAAGAGGTATATGGGGAGTCAAATGTGCAGCAGGTTGTAGTGTGTCATAAATCCAATGTCTAGAGAAAGTCCATGACTTTCTGTACCTAGGAGGTTGATGAAATGCAGTTCATAGGCCCAGCTCTGAAAAGTGGTTAGTAAATACAAACAAGCACTGAACCTTGCTAACCTAATCTCATCACCAAAACTAAAACTAACTTCCTACAGCTCAAAATACAAAACCTGTCAACAGTATCCAGTACCCCCACAAACCACAGACCAGAATCTATCAAGGACGAGAATACCCAACTACCTGTGGGGGCATATTCCTCACAAAAAACCCCACTCAGTCTCCAGTCTCTCAGGCCTGGTCCTAAAAGGGAATTTACAAAACACTTTTCAGCTCTGAGAGTGGGGCATTCCATGGCTTTTAAAAAATGAGAAAAGGAAATAGGTGCAGACAGAGCTCCATCTGCACCTGGAGCTTGGGGAAGCCCAGCAGCGGGAGGTTTACCTTGAGGAACACCAGCTGTTCCACCAAACCAGGATACAAGCAGGTGTGGTGGGGGGACACTACATCCCCAGAAATTCTGAACACCCTCTCACTCAGGACACTGATGGGTGGACAGGACAGATGTTCATGGGCAACCATGGCCAGATCTGGCCACATCTGGCTGTGGCTTGCCCAGTAGGCCAAGGGGGCGCATAACAGTGACTCCACATCCTTGGCAAGTTAGGAGCCACCAAGGCCTGAGTGCTACCTGCCTGATGGTGGGGTCTGGTGCCTCTGAACCCCACCATAGAAGCCATGCCCTTGGCCCACATTTGCATTGCCTGTAGTGGAGGAGGAGACTGGCTAATGGATGGCGTGCTAGTATGGGACAGTGGATCCCCCTCTTCCACATTCTCCTGCTTCTGTCCTTCTGCCTCCATGCCTCCATGACTCTCTTCACCAGATCCTCCATCCACTGATTCAGGCTTTGGCCACTGCATATGATGCCCTTCACCCTAGAGTCACACATGGTGGCCAGCATGTGGACCATACTGGACTGCAAGGGACCAAACCATTTCCTGATGACCTCCTTCAATTGCCTCACCAGTGCTTGTATGCTGCGTAACAGCAGCTTGCCCCAGCCAGGAATATTGGTCCCCTGGAAGCTCTCCACTTGCCTCTGAAGTTCCCTCACTATGGGGACCCTTGGCTAAGGAGAGCATCACCAGTGTTGAGGGTCTCAGTGGACTTGAGGAAGGGCTTGGGGACCACCAAGATCTGGGAGATGGTATCCCACACCATCCCAATCTCCCTGAGCATGGCTATCTCCTGGATGGCCTTCTATTGCTCCAGCAGCTTCTCTAGCATCAGGTATGTGGAGTTCCAGAGTCTCCACATCCTTCATGAACTTGTGCTGTGGAACGTTCAGCTCTGTTTGTTTGTCCCACACCATCTTGGCCCCCTTGATACTCCAGTGGAAGAAGCCCTGTCCCCCTCCAAGATGTCCCGGACCATGAGGTAGAACTAGTGTGCCACACAGTGGATGCCAACAGAGTTGGCATCATGGACCACCTTGATCATATTGGCCCTATTGTTGGTGACCATGAACCCACAGGTGAGCTCGCCCTGCCCAACAAGTCACCCCTGCACCAAGTGGTTCATGGCCCCCCATGATCTTGGTTGCAGTGTGGGACTCATCCATCACCTCAGCTTGAAAGAGAGCTCGCTGATGGCCTGACTGATTGCACCAGTGCCCTGTGAGGGAGAAGTACACGTGATCTCCACCCTGGCTGCTCCAGATGTCTGAGGTGAAGTGTAAGGCCACCTGTGGACCTTTCTTGCACAGGTCCTCCCTCAAGTACTCCCTTCATGCCTTATACCAGGAAAGCACCATCATCCTGCTGAAGGTGGTGTGTGCAGGCATGTGGTAGGATGGAACGATGAGCAACATGAGCCACCGGAATCCTGGCTGCTCAACTAAGGAGAAGGGCTGGCAATCTAGAGCAAGCATCTCCCTGATGCTCTGGGTGATCTCACTCACCCTTGCAAAGTGCTCCACTTTCTGTCAACCTTTCCCTCACTGTTCCAGGGTGACTAGCCTCTGCTTTGGGGGGATGGGGGCTTTGGAGCAAGAGGGGGACTTTCCTTTGGGCACACTCCCACTGGTGCCAGGATGAGAAGCAAGGGCAAGGGGTTGGTGCCTTCAGAGACGTATAGCGTTCTCATGGTGCTCATGTGTTTTGCTCCCTTGCTCTGACTGGTTCGGGCTCAGTAGTGCAGGCAGATTGTGTATGTGGGATCCTCTACCAGCTCAAAATGATCCCAGACCAGACTACCCTCTCACTTCTGGAGGTGAGTAAAAGTGGGCATGCTGCAGTTTCCTCCTTCTCAGCAGGCAGAGGCACAACAACAGGAGAAGCAGACTCAGCTGAGCTGCTTGGCTCCACAACCTCTACCTCAACCTCCTCCAAAGTGCCTTCTGGGGAAGGATACCTGGCTCTAGGGGAAACTTGAGGGGTGTGGAGCACAAACTCAGATGATTCCTCCTCCTTCCCCAGAATTTCACTTGCTAGGGCACTTAGATCCAGATCCAGTTCTTCCTCTGGCACTGGAAGGCTCAGCATGGGAAGTGAAATGGGTGTGGAGGAGACTGTCATGTTGGTGCTGGTGCTGCTATTTGTTGTCATGGTGGTGGTAGTGATGGCTGGTGGTCTTGGATGGGATGCAGTCTCAGGCACAGGCAGTGGCACTGGCACTGCTCCCCTCTACTTGCTGCTTGTGGAAGCCTCACCCCTGCCAGTTGGACAAAAGAAGCTGTCTCAGTTTTGAGGGGGAAATTACATCTCTCCCTCTACCCCCTTTTCTGCCTCTCCCTGAAGGCTGGTCACCTGCCTTTCCACCACGCTTCATGGTGTGTTTCCCAGTGTTTTGCTTTTATACAAATATGTAAATGTATCTGTGTTCCTATATAAATTATCTAAGGTGTGTAGTTTTCTATGCCACAAAGTATAAATGTATAGAAATAAAATATAAATGTATTTCCCTTCCTATATAAATTAAGTTCTATCCAATATATATCCTATTCAATATAATTATAAAATTGAAAAGAATAAATCAAGGAATATAATAACCCAAAGGGTTTCTGCAAGATGGAAGATGTGTTGAAGTTGTGACTGGCTACAAAGCTTCACTGAGACAACGCAATACATTTTAAAGCATAGTCCTGATGTTCATATTTTGGCTGCTTACAATTCCACAGTGGGTGATGAGGATAGGTATCCCTGCAGCTACAATTCAGGAGAACATTTTTTTCCAACAGGTAAAAAAAATGCCTGGCCTAGCTTTTTCCCCATATGCTGTTTTTGCCATCCAAAAATTTGGTTGACTTTGCTATTTGTATTCTAATAACAGCTACAGTCCCTAACTGAAATTGAAGTCTTAGGATGCTAGCAAATACTAAGTACAACAGTTCTTGATCTAAAGATCCTGCAACTACAAAAGAAAAGAAAAAAGCAAGTTAGAAAGTGTCTGAGGCAGAGATTTGCCCAAGGTAATCTGAGACAGAGTATGGTACTGAACTCAGAATTCTTATGTTTCCCATTGCTCAGTCATAACTACAAAACCTCATTGTGTATATGGTAGTTATTGTCAATCGCATTGTTTACCTGTGTTATCCTGTGCACCAAGCCAAGGGTGCTTCTGTTATCTAGTCACAGACATGTATATAATTACTTTGAATTTATTCATTGTTTGTAGCAGTGGGCATGATTTGGCTGCCTACTTCCCATTTCTCAATAAGAAAATAACATTGTGCCTTGGTGCTCAGTGTTTGTAACTGGTGAGTCAAATATTTTTGAGGGATACATTAGTATATTCCTTGACACTAGTTGAACCCTTAGGGTATGTCCTGATGAGTGCACATGTGGAAGGGTGCATGTTTACCATAGGACAAATAATGGCATATATTTGTACCACTGCTATTTTTCTAAAGGCACATCCCTGCATGTGTGCTTTGGTGTGCAGCATATCGATCTGGGTGGGGTAGGGCAGGCTGGGGCCAGCACCTGTGCTGGCTTCAGCAGCCTTACCCAGAGTTCTGAGGGATTCCCAGGGCATTAACAGCACTGAGCCAGACGTTTAGAGCCTGGCCAGCAGCCAAAGTGTGGCTCTGCTTAGCCAGGTTCCATTTCTGGTGGTGCATGCTGTTGCCATACCCCTTTTTTAAGAAGTTTTTTGATACCAGGTTCCCCTGCTAATTAGCAGCCAGGTGAACTATTGCATGTCTACCATGTGCGGTTTGCAGCGCATCAGATGGTTTGAGGTGCCACAAGCCATATGTGCACACTCGTCAGGACAGGCCCTTATATTCTATTAATAGATGTAATGCAGGATTGAAGTTAAAATATACAACTTAACTTTATTGGATAGACAATGAAAATTCAAAAGAACAAGCATCTTCAGGAGATTTTTTTCCATGTTGCTTTTATTTGCTTTTCTGTCTTATTTTGCTTGATGATGGCAAGCTGAATTTATGAAAAATAGGAAGGAACCAAAATGAAAGTAGGCTGAATTGTCTGATATATTTGCCATACCCAAGATATCCTACCTCAGCAGCTCAGTCATGAATCTTTCACATTTTGTATAATTTTGTCATCAGAGCCTCAATTACATGATAGATTGCATCATACAATATTCTATTATATGTTGTATTAGGTTTTAATCAGTGTCTTATAATATTCTGTGTGAACAATGATATAAGGTCTACGGTTTTGATTGCAGTAGTCTGGAACATGGCACATAAATCATTTAATCAAGGGAAATGTAAATCAACTAGTTTTGTTCCTATTCAAATCACAAATAAAATCTGCCATTATAAAGAATGACATTCTTCTTCTAGTTACTTTAGTATAAATCAGAGCAAGTCCAGTGAATGTGGAATTTAGTCTTAAAGCTACAACAGGCTGTACTGAAAGTAATCCAGAATCATTTCAAAGCAATAAATAAAAGGGGAAAAAAAGAATAAAAAGAGTTTAATAGGACAGAGGCAGTATTTAGAGCTGGATGGGCAATTGACGTTTGCTTGGTGAACTTTTCAGAGCAAAACTAAACTGTCTGGTTTTCTTGGTTTTTCATTCATTTATTGTTTTGATAATGGAGTATATTATGCATTTTTAAGTACAATTCATCATTGAATTCAATAAAGATCTTGGCTTAACAAACTGTGGTACAACATGCCCCTTAATCTACTATTGTATGATTTCCCTAGTTACTGTTGCAAGATTTTTTAACTTTTCATTTTTTTTTTCAGATTTGAATTCGGCTAAGCAGGATAGCACGTTTTTAGCTTGTGGCAACAGCTCCTACCAGCAAAAAGGCTGTATAGGTTTTGATCCTATACTCAGTGCTAGATCTAGTTAGATAATCAGAAAATATGTTTATGAACACAATTAAATCTGGCTTGCACCGTTGTTTAATCATGGTAGTTCCCCCTTTTTCTGGTGATGATGGAAGCTTTATACCCAAGTGTGGGAAGGAGGTTTTATTCAAACAACTAGGCAGCTGTTGGTGTGCCTGAGTGTGTTCCTGCAGACCCAGGATGTCATCCTCCTGCTGTACACAGTGAGGCCACACCTGAAGTACTGCATCCAATTCTGGGCTCCACAATTTAGGAAGGATGTGATAAAGTTTGAGAGAGCCCAGAGAACAGTCATGCACATGATCAGAGGGGAAAAGAACATGCCTTACGAAGAGAGGCTGCGAGCTATGGGACTATTCAGCCTGGAGAAGAGCTGGCTCAGGGATGACTTGGTGGCAGCCTATAAGTACATACAGGGTGTACATCAAGATCTGGGGAAACACATGTTCACCAGACCACCCCAGGGGAAGACAAGATCCAACGGTCACAAACTCCTGCAAGACCGTTTTAGGCTGGGCATAAGGAAAAACTTCTTTACTGTCTGAGCCCCCAAGGCCTGGAACAGACTCCTCCTAGAGGTGGAGCAAGCACCTACTCTGGACACTTTAAAGAAACATCCAGAAGTTTATCTTGCTGGGATCCTTTGATCCTAGCTGACTTGCTGCCCCTTGGGCAGGGGGCTAGACCCAATGATTTTATGAGTTCCCTTCTGTTGTCTATGAAATCTCTGAAATCTATGATTTGGATTATTCACATTCAGTGTGTCTTCAAAACTAAGTAAAAGTGCAATTGCAACATGGATAGACATTTCTCTGACCTAGGTGTAATGAGTAACAATGGCAGTAAAAATGTGCTGGAACTGGTTTCTAGCATGTGCTAGCAACCAGAGCACAAATACTCTGGGAATTCTATGGTCATATTCTAATTGCTAGCATATGTTGAGGCCTGTGCTGCTATGTCTATTACTATTCTTACAATGGGCAGATGGATTAGAGCTAGTAAAGGCATACCTACCCATACTGCAATCATGTCTTCATTTGGCTCTTGAGTTATAGCTTAGTAATACGTAAATATATTCAAACTGTGAGTTTGCCTTGCCCACTAAGCATCAAGATCAGGAAGGCCATAAATTGCCAGTCACAACAACCATGGCCAAAGTGGAAATTCAATATATGAAAGTTGCTGCAGTAGCAGAAGAGTCCTTCATGTAGGTATTGTCACCATCCCTCAGCAACTGAACATACAACAAATATCTGTGGGGTAGGTAGCTGAATAATTATGTGAACCATACAGGGGTCAGGATTGATATCTGGCAAGGATGTGCAGACTAAGCAGCAAAATGGATGCACTCTGGTGTGATAAGCAACCAGGAATGAGAAAGAAGCAATCTACTGAACAGTCATCATGGAGAATTCTGCGCCATCAAGAATCTCCTTTTAGAGGAGTTACAGAAGAGCCATAGCAATTACTTGTGATGGGAAAATTGTATGTAAGCTCAATTAGACAGCCAATGCTTAAAGTCTCTACCTTACTGTCAGTGAAGAAGTCATGGTTGCTTATCACACCAAAGGGCATCCATTTTGCCACTTAGTCTTCACATCCTTGCCAGATATCAA